TGTTTCTGTTGCTGTTGCTGTTGCTCTTGTTGTTGTTGTTGCTGCTGCGTAGGGATTTTGTTGATATAGGGAAGTACTAGATGACCGAGGGTTTTTATTACTCGTAGGGAGCATTGGAGGTATGAAGGGGATTGATTGAATGTAGTTCGGTATGATCGGGTTACGAAGGTCTTATATTGAGTCTTGCTGGGAGTGTTACAAGGATGATGCTGACGCCGATAAAAGGAGCCCAGCTGATGTTGTTAGTATTATAATAGCACTGATTATAGTGCCATTACTATGAATGTTCTAGTTCACTGTTAGTTGGGTGGAAAGATCCCAAGCTGATGTTGTGGATTCTAGGCTTTCTGGGCCAGCTGGGTGTAGTATACGCAGTCTACTCGAGCCCTGGATCAAGACCCGCGGGTTTGCATCGAAGCCCGATCTATGATCTAAGTCCAAGCCCATGGAAGACGGCTTCTCGCTGCCGTTGAGATTGGATCGTATTGGATCATCGGCTGGAAAGCAGTGGATCCTAGTGCATAGCGACTTAGTGCAGATTCATGAAGCCCTACGCGAGCAGCTCTCCAAGCTCTCGTCCCCTCACAGCCTGCTGGCGTGACGTAGACCCCGCGCTGTGACCGGAGCTCACCGTTTCGCTCGGCTTCCGCCAGAACACTCGGGAGGGAAGCCAAATCGACCAGATGGTCAACAAAACAGCCTTCTGAAGCCTCAGCCTTCTTGCGAAAGCAGGGTCCTGACACTTCGCTGGCTGAGTTGTCCTGACGTTGGAGAGTTAATTGTGCGATGCTTCCTGGCCCGAGAAGTTTTGTCAGACATGGAGGGTTCGACGGAAGCGGGACGAAGAGCCGGGGCCTCGCCACCTCGTCAATGATTACTTCATGCAATCCAAAGAAACCCAACTGACTGTTTTGCACCAAGAAGACTGCGGAACCTCCAGGTTGCAGAATCCTAGACTGTAGACTCACGAAGCAGCCCGTTGGAACATGTTGGAACGGTTTGCGGAACGATTCCCAAGGCAGGTCCGACACTACGCTACAGCGTCAACATTGTTCAGTAAACAACTTTGCATAGAATCTCGGGGCACTCTTGCAGTTGAAAGGGTTGTTCGTTCGGTTTGGCCTGTCGGGTCTTTGCTGTCTTGTGAGTCAGCCTGCCTTCGACATCATAGTTGTGGGCTTCTGCCACCCGTTCATGGAGAAGGTGCTCACTCTAGCTTTTGTCGTGCCCACTACAGGGAGGATCAGGTTTGGTGAATTATTTCAACATCGCGGTTGACGCTTCAACGCAGAAACGAGCTTTGCAGAGCTTGACACTGTCTTGGAACACGGTGGGCCCCGTAGGCGCTACGTTTGTCGGGCTCGTGTCCTATAGTTGGTCCCATGTCCTGGCTGGCTTTTCTGCTCGAAGAGTCTGCACCACGACATATGCTGTCAGAATCAGGTGCTGCTGTTCGGATGGGGTGCTGCCGCTGAGCAAGTTCTCAAGGAATTGTGCAGGGCCCAGTATGCCCAGTCTCGAGAGAATTGCAGATCGTGATTGGCGCAGCGCGCAGCTCGTGTTCCGAAGGTCCTCGATCGGCACTGAGCAGGCCCGGCAAGCTTGCGCCAGGATTCCGTCTTTTGGATGAGCTGCCCTGCGCCAGGTGGGTGGAAGCTTACCTTCGTCGGCTGTCTTCTGCATTTCACAGACATCGCAAGCAAAAGACTGTGCTCGGTTCTCAGGCGTCTTCTGGATCCTTCAGGGTTTCGCAAGTATTTCGATCCTCCAATGCATGTCAACGTGCTTGAGGATTTGCGGGACGTTTGCGCAGCTCTTGGCTTCAAATGCGTCAGCCGGCCACGATTCTGCTTCTTCGGCTTATTGCGTGTGCTGGAAAAACAGTGCAGGTACTTTCTGACAGTGAAGTCGAGATCTTGGAGAGACTTCGTCGCAGTCAGACGAAGCTAAAGGAAGTTAACAACCATGATTGGGATTCTTCACTCTGAGCCTCTGAGCCAACCTCAGAATGGTACGCGGCTTTCGGCCAGACTTGATTGTCTCTGCGCCCGGCCCTTGGCAGTTCACTTAGCCCTGGAAAACTGCGGAAGTTCTCGAATCTGCCGTTTGTTAGGTCTTACAGGAAAAAATTGCCTGGTAGCGTGCCTGGTGCTTGGGAAAGAGTTGCTTGAGTGGCCCCTGATGCCTCTCGCCGCGAAGGTTGAATCTGTGCCCTGATTGTATCAACTTCCACCCCTCTCTACTGCCCAAGCATCGGGGATGTTGGTCCGCAGCCTAACTGGAGCAGGAGGTAAGTTGCTCTCGAAGACAGTGCCACAGTCGCTGGATTGCGCAGGTCAGGCTTCTGGTGCATTTTTGAGGGCGACGCCGAGACAGGTGTCACGTGCCACCGCATGGTGGAGGTGACAGGGTGCCTTAGGTGCTTAGGTGCACACGCACTGTTCCCTGCCTTGAAGCAGGCGTTCGATGCTGGACTCGTGCTGCACCAGGAACGTATCGTGGTGGACTGGAGCCCCGGAAATGTCCCCGGTCTCCCGACGATTTGGGCGCAAAGACCTGCGACCAAGGACGAGGTGGACACCGCCTTCTCTGCCCCGCCCACAGCCCATTAGCTGTAGATTCTCCATGATGCCAGAGGCGTCTGCTGGCAGGTTTACCGGAAGCTATTGCCGGTGACGGCACGGTGTGCGCGGCAGGTGCAGCACCCTCGGAAGCAGAGAGCAAGGGGTCTCTAGTCAGGTGTGCAGCCTCTCATTGCCGTGCCTGTTCTGGCCCAGGTTCTTGCGGTATTTCGGTTCCGAAGGTCTCCCTGCAGGCCTGATCAGGCCGTCACTCCTTCATACGCCGGAGTTGATCGGACCCCAAGCAGGCGAAGAGCAGAAAGGTGAAGGCTCCTACCACTACAGGACTTTTCCGCAGACTGCTTTCGTCTTCTAAAGCCTAAAGCTCGCCCTGTTCCCAGCGCATGCACCAGTTGCAGGAAACTCCCATTCGATGGCCTGATCCAACCTGACTGGTCTGATCAGCAGGACAGCTGCATAGCTCAAGCACGCCCAGACACAGTGCGAATGTAGACGGTGGTGCCTTTGGAGGTCGCGCGCTTCATTCGGGCGATGGAGTTCCCGCCGTTTGATGGTGCAGCCGTGCTGGTGGACGGCAAACGAGTGCTGGTCGACTCCGTCGAGGAAATCTCGGCTTGCCGGGGCTGGGGCAGGTCGGAGCCGAGGACAGCCACCGTTTTGAGGCATATCGCGGCCTGATGCGCGGCGGTGCAGCGCCCGTTGCTTGACAGCAAGGCCTCGGGCTTGGTGAGACTTGAGGCTGGAAGTTTACGCCCAGGAACCAGCTCCGCAAAGTTCGTGAGCCGGTTCTGACCTTGGGATGCTGGCAGCACGACACGGCTCTTTGGACTCCATGAACCTGCGAGGTGGCTCGACCCGCCCGAGGAGCGCTTCGAGAAGAAAAGCTGCGCGACTCATGTGAGCTCTCGTTGTGGCCACGGTCAGAGATTTATGTTCGCAGCCTCGGCTGGTATGGAAAAGCAAGGCCAAAATAGATGCCTCAGCAACTGCAGCACGCAAGCCGTATCTTGCCGTGTGTACCATGAGGTGAGTGTAGTGTTTCTTGATCTGCTTCCAGGTCTGAGGGTCGAGGGAAGAGCTGCTACCCAACAATCGACATGCACGGGAGCCCATCAGATGTAGCCTCTCTATGTGGATGGTTGGCGGGTATCATGTGATTCTCCCGACATGCTGTGGGCAGGACCAACCTTCTCCCCGTCCCAGCTTTCTGCACATGAGAGTCGCTCCCAAAGTAGGACGCGATTACGACAGCCTCGGAGATGCCATCCCCGATCAAGAAGCACCAATCCCCAGGCTGCGGCAGGCTTGTACTCGTATTCAGGTTTGCACATCAATGCACCATCCCGAATCCGAGTACACACCGAGTTCGCAGGCGGGCAAGTCATGGGGACACCTCACAGATCCAGGCTTGTTGCCGAACCTGGTGCACTGTACATGGCCCATGGCTGCACAATCTCGCACTGAGGCTCAGCGATGTTGCCAAGGCGAGAATCGTGGGGGCCGTGTTTTTGTCGTTTCGATATTGTTAGAACGGTCTGATGTGTTCGGTCCGAGCAAAGAGGTCCGATGACTGGGCGATGATGCCTTCCCGGCTCCCGCAGTCCTTGGGCTACCAGGAGCCCCTCTCTCTCCAAACCGCTCGACGCAAATGCAATCGCGAACCATGCTAGAGGATGTGAATCTTGGAGTTGTCCAGCAGGTGCTTGGATGCAGTTTCAGCACCATCGGGTAGTTGATGTTAGCTAGGACCTAGGACAATTTGATCAAAAGCGGCCCTGTATCCTCACAGGTATATCCCCGGTCCTTCACGCTGAGCTCAGGATACGAGGCGCTGCCAAGCAACGCCATCATAACCCAATCGATTCAGCTTCATGCCAGGTGGACCCAACACTTCGATTCGGCGGATGCCGCGATGGCGAGCTGTCCCCAATACGCGACTTCTGGCAGCACATAACTCCGCCTCAGCATTTGGCTACATCAGTAGAGGAATCCTGTATAACAGGCAAGAAGTCAGGTGTCGAGCTACGGTATGCTGTAACCTGATTTATCCCCTTTCGAACAAGATCTCTGAAGTCTGAAACTTTCGGCGTGTTCGGACTCCACTGAGGCAAGTGCGGTGGTGAGATCAGCTTCGCCGTTGACGACCGTCTATAGTCTGCCAGCACAGGCCCCGAGTCGTAGTTTGCTAGGCTTTAATAGGCCTTGCAGCACGGGCCGACCCCGCCGCCATTACCATCAGCACGGCTACTTGTAGAACCTAGGCCTAGGAGCCTTCAACTGGGCGTTCTCCCAGAGCCGGGGTCGGTGAACCTCAACAACTGTACCAGCTCGTGGTCTGCATTCAGTTCGCATGTTCGATGGAGGTTTATACAAGACAGCCCAGCCCAGTCACTTCGGTGTCAACCGGCTGGGGCCTCACTGCCTTAGCAAAAGGTCCAAGTTCAGACTGTCTGAAGCTGGTTTGCTTGATGTGAGGCTTGTCAGTCACTCGCCCAGCCTACATTGGGCCCGTGGAGGCCGGGGCCACACTAAACAACAGGGAGTTGTTTTCGAATGTTTTCCTGCGCTCGTTTCGGCAATTGCGGCAAGGCCACTTCTTCCTATACACAAGTGCTTTCCTCGGGGCATGAACATGGCATGCGGACAGACATGTGACAAAACAGGGGTGTGGCAGGGTTTAGTTTGTTCACTACGATGCGTAAGCCTGCCTGCTGCCCTCTAGCGGCAGATTCGCAACTTGACATCTGATGCACACCCGCCAACGCCAAACCTTGCCAAACGCAGACAAATCGGACTGAGGCCCAGGTCGCCGCACCCAAGTCTTGCTCCCAAGGCAAGTACGTGTCGTGGTCCCCAGGCGGGGAAAACAAGCGCAGCTGTGCTCGCGAACGCCACTCCGGAAGCCTTTCCCGAGGCTCAGGCTCAGCAACCTGGACCAACTACTCGTCAACCGACAGGGCCGGTGATCTTTGAAATTGTTTGAAATCATCGACTCACAGCCTGACAGTTTTGATTTGGGCGCAGGCTGGCGAGTGTGGGCGGAGCGAGGGCGCACTCAGCCACCTTCTCCGCAATAAGCCAAGGGTTCTTTGTTCCTGAGAAGGGTACTCGTGCGAGATTTTCCGAGGCTCTGCCAGAGCAACCGTTGGAGACTAAGACGACAAAAATCTCGCGCGCCAAGTCGAGGGTGAGGGTCTCCCATAAATTGCTGGGAAGCGGGCATGCAGGCTGGCAAGCAGGAGAGCATCGACCACCAAGGCGCCAGCTGAGCTTTCCAGCTAGAAGACTTGTGCTTTCCATGATGGCAAGGGGTGCCACAGAAGAGCAGCTTGCCGTCCTGTCCTCAGATACACCCCTGTTCCCCACTCGTATCTCTCTCTTGCGGCTCGATTGTTCGCTGCCGTCGCAGTTCTGCCACAGGTCTGTGGACTCTTTGGCGAGTGCTCCGCGGCCGCTGCCGCTCTCGTTGGGTCAGCCTGCCACGATGCAAGCTGAGGCAGGGGGCGTGCACACGTCAACCTTTCACAGAGGGCCGCCTTTCACCGCAAACTAAGGCGTATCCTGCTGTGCGATATGTGGCCGGCCTTACCGATAGCCAGCAGCTGCCGACCATGCCTGCTTTGGGTACTACCCACACCGCGGCACCGCTTCCATGCGTGACTTCGGCTGCATACCGACACGCCACCTTCTTTGTGGTTGCACCAGTTTAGCTACATAAGACACATGTCGGACCCATGTAGCCTGCATGCTTCCATGATCCTCAGGCAAGTGTCCCAACGTCTGCATGGACGCCATGTCGGTCGTCTTTTCAGAGACTCCATGCCTCAGCCTCGGAACACTGCACAGCTTCAAGAAACCATACTTCACCCCATCATTGCATCGGGGGGGCACTCACTCACTCTCTCTCTCTCTCTCTCTCGCTCTCTCTCCCTCCCTCTCTCTCCCTCCCTCGCTCTCTCTCCCCTCTCCCTCTCCCTAAGCACCACGTCTCAAACCTGTCCTACTAGCGGGGTATTTGCTGCGCAGTCTCCTCGCTCGCTTAGGCTTCTCTGGGCAACGACACTGCTGTCTTTGTACCCATTCACTCTTCACGCGCTTTGCTACCCCACGCACTCTCCAAGCTGTTTCACACTGCTGCTCCTTTCTTTTTCTCTTCAGTTCTTCAGCCCCATTATCGCTTCGTCCTGTCTTTCCGATTCCAGACGCACTTTCAAAGGAGTGCTTGTCTTTGTAATCTCGAGCGCCAAGTCGAGGGTGAGGGTCTCCCATAAATTGCTGGGAAGCGGGCACGCAGGCTGGCAAGCAGGAGAGCATCGACCACCAAGGCGCCAGCTGAGCTTTCCGGCTAGAAGACTTGTGCTTTCCATGATGGCAAGGGGTGCCACAGAAGAGCAGCTTGCCGTCCTGTCCTCAGATACACCCCTGTTCCCCACTCGTATCTCTCTCTTGCGGCTCGATTGTTCGCTGCCGTCGCAGTTCTGCCACAGGTCTGTGGACTCTTTGGCGAGTGCTCCACGGCCGCTGCCGCTCTCGTTGGGTCAGCCTGCCACGATGCAAGCTGAGGCAGGGGGCGTGCACACGTCAACCTTTCACAGAGGTCCGCCTTTCACGGCAAACTAAGGCGTATCCTGCTGTGCGATACGTGGCCGGCCTTACCGATAGCCAGCAGCTGCCGACCATGCCTGCTTTGGGTACTACCCACACCGCGGCACCACTTCCATGCGTGACTTCGGCTGCATTTGAACGTATGTCACAAAATCTTCAGGAGTCAAGTGGAGCTTAGGAGTGTTCTAGTTTCAAGATCTGCAGGAATTCCGGCGGGCTGCAGTTCTATCACGAAGAAAACACAACATGAGGCTTGACCGGCGGGCATTTCGGAGAATGAACTCGCTCAGTGCAGAAATGTGGTGTGTAGACGTGTTGCAGTTGCAGGGATATGTAAGAAAGCACTGAAGACAATCTCTCTCTTGAAATCTCTGGACTGGAAGCTCGGATTTAGAGGTGGTCGGATAACATGGAAACGTCTCAGACGGCCAAGCCTGATTGCAGCTGAGGCGACCTCATTGATGGCATCATGGGCAGCACAGGGTGCGCCAGTCGCGACCGCACAGGCCGAAGTCGTTGCAACTTGGTGGCGTGTTTGCAGTCATTGCAAAGCGCTCAGGAGGCCTCCACCAGGCCTTTGCGCCAGACAGGCTGGTCCTTAAGCCTCAAGACAGGGTTGGCTTCCTGACGGGGCGGGAGAGTGGAAGGAGTGTCCTCGCCCAGATTTCATTGAGGATCCTTCGCGAGGCGCTTCGACACAGCTCGCACTGGTCAAGTCGAGGCAAGCTGCTCGACCGCTAGGGATTATTGTTTTCCGACATGTAGACAATCGCTCTTGATGTTCTGGTCCTGCTTCTAGCTCCGCACGAAATTTGTGCCACGCACACTTGTCAGAAGATCTGAGACAGCATGTGCAGTCACATTTCCAAGTACTTCGCGGAGCGTGGATGCACGAGTTGGAGGGGTTCTGTCACTGGCCGATCGCTCGAGGCCCTCCTTTGAACATGCACTGCACAAGTAACCGGAATCGTAATGTCTCGGAGATACGATATGCTATATATGTATATTATGTACACTATATTCACTGCCTCCACAACATCCGTAGGTGTATTAAGGGTTCTGGGTTGAAGCCAGAGCAGCTGGGCTGTACAGATACACAGGTCTTCCGTCGTCTGGGCTTTGCGCGGGCCTGGTCGAACGGTGGGTGAATGGACCGAGGAAAGCAAATTACAGAAGGGCGATGGTTGCGCTTGGTTCGCACTTCTTGCACGATGCACGCACCAGGGAGAAAGCCCGGGCAGCCTCACCATCTTGCAAAGCTCCATGCGCACAGCTTGCTCGAAATGCCCGAAGCCGGCAACGGCAAGACGTAAGGCCCGCAGCCCGCAACGCAGGAAGGAGAAGCATCGCCTAAGACTGGCCGACGGCAGAAAGAGCGCACAATCGAGCCCAAAATAACACGATCTTGACAGAGACGGAGACTGCTGCCATCTGCTGACGCGCTTGTCGCCCTGAGTCCCCTTCCCAGGGCAGCCATGTGAGATCCATTTCCTGGTCACCATGCAGGGCTCTCGGTATGGAAGTTCAGGTTTCCAGATTGGGGTACTGCAGCGCACCGCTGGCTCTCCGAGGTACCGTGACAGACTTGCCACTGCCTACAGCCAGCCAGGACAATCGCGCAAGACCCTCCCTGGTCCCGAAGCCTCCCACCCCCAGGTGGCCAGAATCCGAGTCATCGCGTGTGCATCGACCAAGACATCAGGACGGTTGGCTCGCTCAAAGCATCCCTGCTAGTCCCAGCCCCAGCCCTAGACACTTTTCAGCAGGCATCCCAAACGTGCTGTGTCTTCGTTGGACAGTTTGGCAGCACACTTCTCCTGGCCCAGGTGATTCACCTCTGCCTCCACGCATCGGGAGCGTGAGCCCGCTGAAGTGCACCTTGGCAGCAGCTCGATGACTGGAATCTCAATGCATCTCATGCTTGCGATAGAATCGATCAATGTCCAGGCTTGCCTGCGGGATGTACGAGACGTGAATGGGTGCCCGAGGCGCACAGCAACATGGCATTGAGGCGTCGTTTCCAAGCCACGTTCCGCCGGAGTACGTAGCGAACAAAGGACATGCTCTTCCTTTTCAGCAGGTCTTTCGAAGGCTGTTGGAGCCCACGGTGCTAATCATCTAGCCACCTTTGCAAAACGTTCCGGCTTAAGACCATTTAAGACCTGGTCCGACTGTCCGACTGTGATTAGATATGTTTGCTGCTGCATTCGGAGTCAGCACGGAGGCTTTCTAAGACTGCTACAAGTAGCCGCTCTGCATTGTTGAACGTCATGGAGCACAATCATTTGGGAGTTGACCATCTAGCTTGGCATGTCGAGAGTTCGGCTATTCCGGAATTCCTAGAAGGCACTGTTGCAGGCTTCACTGCTATCGAAAATGCTGTGTGATTTGGAGCCTACAATGACCTGCTAAGCGCAGCTTGCGCAACGCTTAAGCCTTGGTCGTTGTTCCCGTCAAGGCGCCGCGATCGCTGCTTCAGGGCAGCCTTTCGAGATGCGTGTCGTGGTCACCAGGAGGGGACTGTGCAAAAGGGGACAGCGCAAAGTGTCAGTCCTTGACCGCTACCTTTGAGAGAACTACCCAACTCGTACCACATAAGCTGCAGTATAGGGGAGACGGAGCATTAGCAAGGGAGGTTCGCAAGTCAGAAAATAATTCGTTGGCGTGGATGATTCAGATTCAGGCTTCAACATCGGAGGTTGGTGGCTTCAGATTCCCAGGCTCCATGAGTGACAGTAGAGGCTTGGCGGGTGCTGATAATCTCCAATCCATCGGCAATTCGGAAGCCGCTTGCTTGACCTCTTCAGATACCATGGTGGTAGAGCCGGTGCCCATGGAGAGCCAGGCGGGCTGAATCTAACCCCACACCCCTTTCTTTGTTCCTTTTTGGACCTTCCCAGGCGCTGCCTTATTCCAAGGAGCCGTCGGTTGCAGCCTGAGCTCTCTGTCACGGCCTCGAACGGTTCACGACAGATCGCTCTTCACCAGGATGGCTGGTTCGCTCCAAACATCCTGGCGAGTCCCAGCCTCGACACCTCTGAGCACCGAATGCTTGCACCAATGCTTCATGTCTTTGTCTTTGCGTGCAGCACACTTCTTAACTCTTCGGGCCAAGGCAGTTCGTCATCTCTGCCTCCGCGCATTGGGAGCGTGAGCCCACTTAAGTGCAGCTTGGCGCAAGCTCGTTGACTGGAATCTCATTCTCACGCTCGCCTGATCGACCGAAGGCATGCCTGCTGGGTATACCAGACATGAATGGGACCCCGAGGCAGCAGCGGACTTGCGTTGTTTTGTCATGTTGTACCATGTTACAAGTCTAACTTAGTTCTCCAATACCCAACCTTCAAACTTGTTGGGCTCTTTTGCTTCAGTAGTAATCTGAAAGTTTAACCTTTTAATTTCTGGCTTATTGGGGGAAGTAAGCCAAGCGACTCCTACGGCAGAAGCGGCCGCACAAGGCGAGCGGTTTGGCTTGATGTGGTGATGCAGTTTTGGATGCCCCCCCTTTCTGGTTTTAGCAAGGAAGCCGTTGCTGATTCTGGCAGGCAAAAGGTCAGGCTCCGCATCCGCCCACCCAAATAGCGGCCCAACGCCCGGAGTGTTTGGGCAATCCGGAGGAGCTTTGCTTGATGTCGTACCCTGAGGTGCCACAGGCGGCGAACTTTCCGCAACTCTTGGCTGAAGCGAGAAGCAGGCTGCAGCAGAAGGCCTGACAAAGCAGAAGGGGAGACTTCGAACTTCGCGAGCAGCGCCAGCTCTGGTAGACACTCAGACGACTGCCATGATGCTTCAGACCCAAGCAGGGAATAAGCCAATGTTGGTGGCTAAAGGCTGTCGGACTTGAGACGGTCAACAGAAGGTTGACATGCTTGGCGTCGGTCTGATGTGCCACCTGGTAAGCGAAGCCAACACAAAACGCGGAGTTGTGCAAGCGCCAACAGCCGGGCAGGTAGATGCTGCTGCGGCTCTTTTCGACGTCTACGATGTCTGCAGACCCAGTCCTGCATACATTGGAGTCACTGGAGATCATGAGTAACTGTCTCCCTGTCCAGGCGACCCAGCCCAACGCGGCGGTACCGACACCCATGCAGGCGGAGGGAGCAAGCTGCCGAAGCACGCTTTCTCCTAGCCCGTCGAGAGCTGATCGCAAAGTTTTGGATGTGTGTCTGTGTGTGTGTCTTCAGGGTCAAAAGAACGCTCAGAGAAGAAGAGACAGAGAGAGAGAGGGAGATAGAGAGAGGTGAGCCTTCGCTCACCTTCACCCAATCCTTTCGTCGCGTCGCGCTGAGGTCGAGCCCAGCGACATCTCCCGCTCCCATCACCAGCACAAAGAAGCCCAGCAGCGGCCTGGCCAAGCTAAAGGCACCTGCTCGGAGCGGGGCCATCCGGGGCCATGAGGAATCCTCTAGGTCTTCAGGAGTCCGGGGCTTCTGAGAGAGCGCAAGCTGGCAGATGTCCTAGCAGCGGCTCAAGCCTTGTCGGGGGAGCACATCGGCCGCGGAAGCATGTGGCTTTTGGTCAGCCTCATCGTGCCCCTTCTTCGGCAAGCTGCATGCATACATACCACTCCTCTGGTTCCACTCAAAAGCTTCGGGGTCTGGCAGCAAGAAAGAGAGTCTGCCAGGCCATCAACCCTAAACTGCACTTGGCATGATTTCCAGCAGAAAGTTGATCATTTTGGGACTTTTTCTGGCACGTTTCCGCAGCGATATTGTGTGTTCGACAAGTGGTGGAGACCAGCACTGCAGAGTGGCTTCAATGTCTCGTCCACGTCTCCTGGACCTATTTTCTTTTACACAGGGAATGAGTCACCGGTCGGCGAGTACGTCAACAACACCGGTTTGATGTGGGAGCTGGGCGAAAAGATGGGCGCTCTACTCGTTTTCGCAGAACACCGATGCGAACCTGATTCGCACCCGATATTCAAAGGCGACAGCTGCCCGAGATGCGTATCATACTGCACAACAGCACAAGCATTGGAAGACTATGCAGCTATCATGTCACAGCTGCGGCAGCAGCATGTGCAGCGCGCGCCTGTCGTTGTCTTCGGTGGGAGCTATGGGGGCATGCTCTCCGGATGGATGAGAATGAAATATCCAGAGGCCTTGGCAAAATAAGAACTGCGCAACTTTCCTGCTGGGTGCCAGCCCGAAGTCGCTGCGCACCGGCGAAAGTCGCTTCGTCACACAGCGCAAACGTATTGTCAACCCAAATAATTCGCTACTGTGATAACATCTTGCACACACTGGGGTTTCGTGTGTTCGTTCTATGTCTGCTACTTGTGGTTGCTTCCTCCGGCATCGCTGGGTTGACATACGCTACGATGAGCATCCACACTCGGGAACCGCACTTCGAATAGTCACTTCTAATTGTGAAGGATCCGATTGTTCAATGTGGAAACGAGCGTCTGCATGGGGACAGGGTGCTTGTGGAATCGAGCGCCGGCCTGCGGAATGGCTGGTTGTTATTTGCTGTGATGTCATGCTCGTTTTTGTGAGTCTTTGGCCAGATGCTGTTCAAGTCTACGGTGCCGACGAGCGAGATGGACTACGAAACCGAGGAAGGCCAGATGCTGTTGTCTCGGCCTTCCGGCTTCCAGCTTGCCCAGCATGCAAGAAGCAGACTCTGACAAGTCTGCGGGGTTGCGGATGTTGCGGTGTGCAAATCCCCATTTTTTCTACGCGAGCGCGACACTCGAAACAGGTGCCGGGAAAGGTGGCTTTCGGTGGTGTCGCAGCGGCCATCGCGGAGATTCCCCCAAGCAGCCAAAGCTTCAGTGTCCAAGGTCCAAGTGGTCGGGCGACCTCTTGCAGGAAATGCATCAACGCTAGAGGAAAGAAGAGGAAGGCGAAGCCAAGTGCCTCGGCCGTTGCAGTGAAAGCTGCGCCTCCGCCTCCCGAGCAAGCACAGGATTCGAGGAACACTGCGGAAGGAAGTTCCAGTCTGGTGCGAGAGGTCATCTTCCAGCAGGATTTGCATGCCAAAGGCGCTACGATGAAGGATTTCGAGCTCCTCAAGCTTTCGTTTTTTTCTACGTCTCGTATGCGAGCATCACAGTTTAACGACCTGTTGTCACGGCCATTTTGGGTCAAGTCACAAGCAGGATGGTCCAGACAGTGTTAGTAGTGAACCATGACAACAGACTCCTCGTGGGTCGAGCAGGTGCAGCAGATGGAACAGGCGCTCATAGACGTCATCAGTCAAGACGATGACCTGGTGGTGGAATCGCTCAGCAATATCCCATCCGATGCCAAGGGGCATTTACAGACGATGCTGACACTGTTAGTTGAAGTCGTGACTCAGGCTGCCTGCGGCCAGCTTGTCATCGTGGATACCGGCCTTGGCACCGCGTCGTGGCACCCCATCGACCCAGCCGATGAAGCCGGGGTTGCAGCCGAGAAATCCGCAGGACTCTCGTACAGAGCACCAGCCGCCACTGAGACGGGTCGCGTGGCTTGCGCAGATACTCCGGCGGATACTGCAGTCCAGACAGCCTCAGGCCCAGTCCTGCTGCTCAGACTTTGTCTCAGGCGTTTGGTCAGTCCACCGAGCACCGAGGTTCGGCCAGGCCCTGCTCAAAAGGACCCTTCGAGCGTTCTCCGGGTTGTGGCCCAGCCGGTTGCAGCCAGCTCAGTCTTGCCTAGGCAGTCCGATGTGCAGCCGCTTAGCAAGACCGTAGAAAATGCCTGCTTTGAAGTGCACGAGGCTGTTGGGAAAGGCTGCAAGCATGGATGGGTTTGGCACGAATGTTTGGCTGGAACAGGCCTCCGGTCGGCTGTGGGCCTGGGGGCTGTACCTGGCTGCCCTTCACCGCGACCAGCCCAGTCGAGTGCGGGACCCACGGTGCTGGCCTTAGCAGCCGGCTGGAGCACAAGCATGAGATTCAGTCTTGGTTTGCAAGAGTGCCCAGCATCAGCAATCCAGCTGATGCACCAAGCAGAGGTGAAGCAGCCGCGTTGAAATACTCCATCCTGACCCAGTTCAGGCACTGCTAGGGTACCACAGCAAGGAAGAACTTCGACCGCTGGGGCCTGGAGAAAGTCCTTGCAGCCGCTCGCGAGGGCAAGTTCAAGCCAGACTGCACAATGTCAGGACGTTGGCAGGCAGAGCCCGCAGAGCAGTCGTCCTCAGCCGCTTCGTCCCAGACAGTTCCTTCGCAAGCACCGGCAGAAATTCCTGAGCTCCAGCCCGCTTCGGGCCGCGATAGCGTCAGACGGGACACACAACTTTTTCAGAGCGTCAGCCACAGCTTAGCTGTGGTGGCAGGTGACGCAGACTTTTCAGTTTTTGTCCAACGTTCGCAGTGTGTCGCGCATACCAGTCAAACACGCTGATCGCCTTTTGTGCGGGGACACGATTTTTGACAGCCTACAGACGACATCGATAGTCGATTTCAGTCAAGTTAAGGCTTGCATCACATGCCAGTCGGTGGCATACGGGCTAAGAGCCGCTCAGTGGGCAATGTTGTTTTCACACAACCTTCAACAGACGCGTGCAAACAAGGCGCAGACTTTTCAGCTGGCCGTTCGCGGCCATGGCTGTGTTCGCAAAGGGCACTGTGAACCCCAACTTGGAAAAGACCGCTGCATCTTCCGTGTCGTTAAAGCAACAGAAGCCCTATCATTATCTCGACACTTTAGATCCGCCGGCTGAAAATTTTTAAACGTCGGCAGCTCGTGGGCTTGGCTGGACCACTGGCTGAAGCATGTGAAGACGCTTCATGCGCAAATCAGACTAGAAGCGGCCCAGCTAAAAGCACAAAGACTTTTCCTTCTGGTATCAATAGATAGAAAAACATAGGCGGTCGAGTTTAATGAAAGTTGATTAGCGCAGTGCCTCATCTGGCAAAGCAGCGTCCTGCACATCCCGCTAAGTGGATGAGCATTCCAGCAGCCACCTGAGGCGGCGAACGAACGATGTGAGAGCCTAAAATTTCGTAGTGATGTGCTTGCTGGCGTTTGAAGTCTGAAGCCATTAGGGGGTAGAAGCTGCAGGGGCTCTGGGCTCTTAAGTTTTCCTACTTGACAGGTTTGCTGCCTCAGGGGTAGCAAATCTTCATGTGTTATTACAGGTTGGGGCCTTGGGAGTTGTACGCTTTCGGATTTTGCAGGTTTCAAGCTGTTGGGGGCAGTAAGTTTCGCACATCACATGTGCATGTGAAACCTTACCGGTAGCAGACGTTGGTGCTCCACAGGTTTGAAGCCTCAGGGGCAGCACACTTTCATTTTTGCAGGTTTGAAGCTTTGGCGGTATGAACCATTTGCATTCTACACTACTCCAACGATGTGTGTCTCTCGCGGGTGCTTGTGCAGTTGAGCGTCTACATGGGGAATGGCTGGCTCGGACATGCGATGACCGCTGTGATATAGTGTCTCGCGCGCTTGGCCGTGAAATCGAGCGTCTACACAGGGGAAGCGTGGGGATGTGCTGCCATGTGATGCCACTGATGTCTTTCACTGGTGCTTGTGAAATGGAGCGTTTTTGGGGAATGGCCGGTTAGGACGTGCTGCGATGCCATTGATGTGTGTCTTGCACGCGCTTCTGAAATCGAGCATCTATGTAATGGTTGGCTGACTTTGATCAATAATCAGATAACATTGTCGTGTTTTGCAGATTTGAAGCTTTGGGGTTAGTGCATTGCCGTATTTTACACGACGCCGATGATGTGTGTTTATCGCGGGTACTTGTGAAGTTGAGCGTCTACCTGGGGAATGGCTGGCTCGGACATGCGATGACTGCTATGATATAGTGTCTCGCGTGCTTGTCCGTGAAGTCGAGCGTCTACATGGGGAATGGTCGGGATGCACTGTGTTGAGGACATATGAAGAATTGGATTTCGAGAGCACTACCCCAGTGTGCGAATCGATAGAAATGCTGCGATAGCCCTGAATGAATATGTGGCACATGAAGCGACTTTCGACATTGTGAAACGACGTAGGGCCACCACCCGGTGGGTTCATATCGGCGCTAGGAAGCCCTGGGCCCCTGAGGTCGTGGACGGTGCCATTGCGGCATCGGCACCGATTTGGCAACTATCGACCACCGTCACGCGAAAGACCGTGGATTGGCCAGCTGTTGCAATCAGCCGGGGCCTATCCCCAGCAGGAGGATCCTCTGAGAAGTGTCTAGCGAATTTGCAAGTAGCCTGGGCGCTGCTTCGTGGCCTCCAGTCTCCTGTCGCTCTGGAACTCCTAAGCGAGCGATTGAACACTTGCACGGAGCTTCAAAGCATCGAAAGTTTGACTTCGTGGGCGGCTGCTTCGTTCTTCCTGCTGGCCGAGGGCAACTATCCATACCCATCGTCCTACATTACTTATGCTGTCGGGCCCGGATCCGCACTTCCAGCATGGCCGATGAGGGTCGCGTGCAAAGGCTTGAGCACTGACTTTGGGATCGATGTGAAGGGATCGCGTTCGGATGTGAATTACACGGCAAGGATGGGAGCTTTACAGGTCACAGTGGATTGGACACGATGGTGGAGCAACGGAGACCAACTAAGCAAGGAGGAACTGAAAGCATCCGGCATTTTGGAATTGGCTGCTGCAGTCACAGATGCTGCCGGAGTTTGGTACAATGCCTCTGGGGATCAGTCCTGCTGGAAGGTGAACTCTGAGGGGCTGGAAGAAGCTTCACAGACTCCCAGGCAAGGCCTGAAACTGCCACGGGCCCGGGCTCCGACAGCCCCTTCAGCCGCTTGCTCTGCGTGCCCTCCTTGCCCGAGCTGCCCAAGCTGCCCGGTGTCGCGCTGCTCCGGTTTTGAACCTCCCTGCAACTTCACGGGATCCCTGCCCAAGACCTTCTCCTGGGATGCCATCGTTTGCAACGACGACCTCTCTCAAATCTCTGCGCAAGGCACGCACATAAGTGCAAAACATGTCTTAAATTGCAGATGCTGCAGATGTGCTGCACGTAATAACGTGCTGAAGTTGAATTCGCTCACTCGCCAGGCTTGGGCAGGGATTTATACTGGCCACCAAGCGTGCCCTTCCGGAACTTCACGATTGCCAGCATGGTTGGGCCACGCAGGCTGGTTCCGGCCAGCTGTACCGAGCACTTCAATGCCATGGGACTCCGAGGTCAGGGCTTGAACATCTCACAGCTCCGGTTCGACATCACACTCTCACAATCTGCTTCAACAGTTTTATGCTTCTTAAGCACATGGTGACATAGTGTGAACCGTTGAGAACTCCGGAGCCGCTGAAAGATTGCAAGAATGACGCAACACTAGGTGCCAGAAATGCAGAACTACTGAAGTCAGAGGGCGGTCAGACCTCACAGGAGGCAGGCGCCAGGGGATAGACCAAGGGCCGCGAGCTACTTAAGTCAGAAACGGAAGCGGGCGGGAATGTGTGATGGCAGGAGCGCCTGTGACGACGGACCCCTGGAGTGGCTGGCTGACAGCATACTATGGAGGGCGGAATGTTTCCCAGCACCGGAACATCGTTTGGAGCAACGGAGCCCTGGACCCGTGGTCGGGCATGGGGGTGTATCCAGAAGGTGGTGGTCCCGATGGCCCATTCATTCAAAACATAAGTAGTGATGGATCTCAGATCGCCTTGGTGTTGAACTTGGGCGCACATCACTTGGACCTCATGTTTTCGGACAGGCGCGATCCACCATGTGCACCAGCTGCACGTCACATTGAGTCTCAGATGATTCAGAGATGGTGCCATGAAGCTTACTCCAAGCAGCAGGAGTCCATCTTCAGCTGAGCGCTTCTTCGTGTGATGCCAAGCGCCTGCAGAAAAGCTCTGTTGTCTTCGCTCGTGGTTGAACGACGCGAGCTGAGCAAAACCAAGACCGGTCAAGAGCCCAGATTGAGCGTGTCCTTTTGAAAGTCTACGTGCAGGCACTGTTGGCAGAGAGCAAGGTTGAGGAGCCTGCAATACGAAGGCAGGAATATATTGAATACAAACAGCAGAAGCCAGGTGCCTGCTGAAAGTTCTTGGGAGGCCCAGTGACACCTTGGAGCTCTCACTCAAGGTGCTGCCGAAGACAGAGGCCGATGGAAACGTTAAATGTCGGACACCCACACTGTACATAGTGTATTCACAGCCTCAGCGCAGCAGAATCCAGATTGATCCGTCTTTGACTGGTGACTCATGAACTGTTTCGGCGCAGGCGATTCAGTCGCGCACGGCTTGGATTCTTCGGATTCGTTTCCATGCTGGGGAACTGCTTTGGGTGGCCTTGATGCCATGGCTCGATCTGAGGAACCTGAGCGGCTGCCCTGGCACCCAAACGCCACTGCCGCCGCTGCCTGCGCTGCCTTCCAGGTACTTCACTCCACCCCGAATGTCGCCCGGCTGCCTCGGCATCTTCTCCGCTGGCTCCAAGATTTGCAGCTCAGGACAAGCGACTTCCTGACGCTGTCAAAGTCCGAATCGACAGGGTGGCCACACCCAGTTGCTGACTTCGTTGCAAGCTTCAGTCCTGAAGCTTGCATGGCAGGCTCGACGGACCTGGGGAGGCGCGACCGTCCATGTGCGTGACATTCACCCGGAGACATCAGAGAGATGGCGAGAGGCCAAAGACTTTGAGGGGAAGACGCCATGCTCTGTAAGCTCGGGGACTACAGTGGATCCACAACGGCTCCTCCGCATGGATCAGGACACAGCGTTGATGCATGCTCTCGGTTCTGTCGGAAGTGCCTCTACATGTTGTCTGGAGGAGTCGGAGTTAGATCTTGCCGCAGCCCAAAAGCCGAAAGTGGAGTTCAGCCAGCAGCCAGACTCTCGGTGTGGCGCCGTAGGGCGGGCTTTACGTGGGGCCTGCGACCTTCGCAGGGCAGCAACATGCGATGCCTCTGGTGTTCGTTTTGCTTTTGACGTGCTGAGGCCCGAGATGGCCGCTACGTCCGCTACGTCCGCTAAGGATTCAGGCATTCATGTTGATCCTTTTCTCGGCCACGTGATCTTGGGTCGAGAACCTGTTCTTGTCAGGGCTTCACCTGCCGACAGAGCCGGTCACGGCGAGCTGTTGTCAATCCAGGCATGTGAGCTGGAAGGATTGGTTTAATCCACACAGGCGCTGTGAGAGCCAACTAGCAACAGACTGGTGCTATATCAGCTATACCCGCATGGTACCGCTATATCATGTCGAGAAGCGCCAGGCCGTCTTGGACTCCTCCAGCTCCAGCGAACGAGAAGGCGCCATGCCCGGGCATGCCGTGTTTCGTGCAAGCGAAGCGGGCCTGACCGGCCGGTTGTGCTTGATCAGGGCGCTCCAGATCTCAAACCCACAAGGCAAGGGCCTCTACATGGCAGCACAGCAGAAAGCAGAGTTCACGCTGTGAGGAGCCAGTCAGTGCCGACAGGGCTCGACTTGGGCCAGCGGGAGGTGGCTGAGGCCTCTTCCGGTGTGTGCCCCTCTTGCGTGCCTCGCGTACTTTACCCAACACCTCGAGGGCGATCTGCTGAAGGAGAAAGACGGAGATCCAAGCAATCCAAGAGGTGTCTCGCGTGCATGATTTCATGATTTAAGGTCGGTCGCGCTTGGAAGAAAGCTGCGTCAGCTAAACTTCTAAACAGGTGCTGGAGATATTGCTGGGGGATGGTCTCACTTCAAAGCCAAGGCAAAGATTTCCTAGCCCACTCCAGTTCTCACGCAGGCTGCATTTGGGTCATGCTTGTTTTTGCGAGGCAGCGCTGCATGCCAGTGATCTGCTTGAACGCAAAGGCAACGTTCTCGCAGGCTAAGCTTGGCCTTCGCTCTTGATCTAGTTGCAAAGCTTGTTGCGGCTGCTACAATACTGCTAAATATACGGCCAAGCTATGAACTGTGAGTCCATAACACATGGATTCACGGTTCATGTCGTATTCGTTAATTTATGGACCAAACTGGCTGCCTTTGTCAGCCAGCTCATGCTCAGCCTCAGAGGTAAAAGTGTACAGTCATGTACAGTCTGCAAGACAGCCAGACTGGGTTGACACCGTGGCAACAGAACCCACTATGTTCGGAGCTTCTGCACCCTTGAGCCGTTTGACCCGCAGCATCAAGCTTCGGCTCGAATGTTTGTGCCACATCTCACTCAATGAAAGATCCTCGCTGAGCTTGGTGGACCGCACGATGATTGTTTGTTCAGCATATGCTAGCTGTCTTCAGCTTCTTGACTCAGCGAGGAGCGCAAGGGTGGATGGGCCAGAGCCCCAGAGAAGCCCAGAGGAGCCCAGAGCCCCGCTCGTGGAAGCCTTGAGAAGCCGAGGTTCGCCTTTCTCGGTCTGCGAGCCGCCGGAAGGGAAGCAGTCTGCCGAAGCCCGGATAGGAAGAAGGGAGGCATAGAGGGGAAGAGAGGCAAGAAAGGGCGTCACAACTTTGAACCGGACCCAAGGAGTATCACACCGATGCCCTCGTCTACCGTCCCGGAAGCCGGGCTATCCTACGAGACCGGGCGGGACTCTGGGCACTCGAGTCTGTGCAGGTGACGTCTCCCCTCAGCGGCGCCAAGGCGGCCGCGATCTCGGACAAAGGCTGTCGATTGCAGAGGTCCAGGCATGACTACGACGTGACTACGCATGCGCTTTGCCTCCTGCCTGGCCTGAGGCTTCCTCGCTCCGCGGGCCATGGCCTCGTAAGCTTTGGACCGCCTCTTTGGAGACTTTGAGAAACTTGGGATTTGAGTTTTTTGAGGCGGAAGTGAAGGTGGCGACGGCACCTCGGCCTGCCCTGGCCTTGGGGACTTGTCGGACGTGTGCTTTGAACCTGCCTACCTTGTACCTGCCTTACTGAAACTGCTTGCAAGGCTGGCCATCATTCCGAAGCAGGACTCCGTCAAGCTCAAGTTGCGACCGTCTGTGTTTCTAGTCATTAGAACTACTGCCATCTGTACTACGTGCCGCTCATGCTCCTTCAGTCGCTCCGACGGCTCCGACGGCTCCTATCGCTGTCGGAGCCCAAAGCACTTTAGGGCTCGCCGAGCATCGCTCAGAGAGGAGAGGGGACGGCGGGGACGGTGAGCCCAGGCAGCCACGGCCTATGCAGGCTGCGGGCACCAGGAGCTTCGCTCTGAGAGCTACGCAGACAGCTTCCCAAGTGCAGGTCCAGTTGAAGGTGTGCTGCTCGATGCTCGGGCCGATGGCAAGGGCGGCGGCAGGCGAAATGATCCAAACAGGTGGGGCTTCTGGTCACAGCACACTTATCTTCAATGCTGTCTTTGCTCCAAGAACACTCGAGTCGCTCGACGTGTAGAAATGCCCTGACAGGAAGCTGAGGGTGGAGGCACGATTACCGAGTGGAGGCAGGACTGAGCGGCTCGTCCGGATCGCTTGCAGATCTCCGAGCTGAACTACAAGATGCGAAACACGTGGGCTGTACCGACCACGCGCTACTTCGCGTTCAGGGAGGTCATGAAGGCTCAGGCACAGCCGGAAGCAGGACAGCCTCGGAAGTTCGGATTGGCTCGCGCTTCTGAAGGTGATACCTGTGGTGAAGGCACCGAATGCGGGTAGCCCAGCACCTCGTGTAGGAGAGCTTGTGAGTGGAGTTCAGGGAACACGGGAAGAGCTACATGAATGACTTCCCAGTATTCGGAGCCGGAGCACATGCCGCACGAAGATTGGCAGACAAAGGGCAGCGAAACGGCTCGTGGCTGGTCGAGAGCAATCATCAACAACCCCCCTCCACACTTTGCGAGCATGCGCAGAGCAACGATTTGTCCGGTGGTTGCTTTGGACTAGAGCAAGTCACAAGGATTGCAAACTGTGTTCGCTGACACGCTATTCAATTCTACGGCTCGAAGAGTGCGTTCATTCATGTCGCTTCGAGGTAACTTTCTCGAAGTGGTCCACGGCAGATGCCCCTGCCTTGAAGACTTGCAATGATGTAGAAAGACCCTAATCCGTTAAAAAGCAACGTTTCCTGCTGTCTATGAGGAGTGTTGTTTCCGTTGGAATCCCTGTTGTCTACGTGCCGATCTGGTGTTGCCTGGTTTTTCGAGTGTCGGAAGAGCCCTACTGTAGCAAGCTACTGTCTAGCATCTCATGGCTCATGACTTCAAAACCAAGCACGCCTTGCACTCCCCGTTCACGACTTGAGGCCCTGCTGTACTTTGGGTCTCATCGAGACGTTTGTGCTTTGAACTTTGCAAACGGGGAGCAGGCCAGGGAGCTGTGATTCAGCTTTGGCAGAGAGGCAGCTGGGAGTCAGGTGGGCGGGGGCTACAAGACCGGAGCGCTGGCACAGGCCGAACCGCAGAGCAGCTTCTACATGTACATTACATGGTGCAGACACAGAGCGAGAGAGAGAGAGAGAGAAGGGAACCATACGGTCCTCCCAAACCAAGCCTGGAAGCCTCCTGTCTCCCATCAATTGGTTTTACGCATGTGGGACCTTTAGGCATGGTAGGTAGCGCTGTGTGGTTGTTTCCGCAAAACCGGGGGACAGGACTAGGGCAATGGGGGCTGAGTTCTTATTTCGACACTGTCAAACACATGCGATGTGCTGGAGCTGCAGATCCCGACCTCTCTCTCGTTTCAGCTAGGTGTTATCGCTAGCCGTTGTTCGTTCTGCCTTTGCAAGCACTGGCACGTCGCGACGACAGGGGGACCTTGAAGCCTTTTGTAGACAAGCTTGAAAGCCCATGTCCCCCTTCAACTGGATCACGCATGCTAGACCTTAAGGCTCATTAGATAGTGCTGTGTCTTTGTTTTGCAAAACGGGGGACAAAACGAGAGCACCAAGGTCCTTTAACACGTTACCGGAAGGCCCCGACCCATAATAGCATGTCCTGACACATGTTAATTATCCCTTGTTTCTCCATCTGTCGTCAGTACAGGTCTGGGCCTCAGCTTGTTTTGGTGTGACCTGCACCCCAACACCAAGAAGGGGAACAGAGATCGTGTACAGATTTCGGGTGTTCCCGGAAGCAGAATTGCGTAGCGTACTAGTGTCTTCCTAGTCAAATCGGGTTTCAACGATGCCGGGTGCATATTTGGACACTGCTGACTAGGGGAGAGATCGCACTTTCAGTGTTGGGGCTGTACAGCCAAGCTCATGAGGGGGAACCCCTCATCGAGAGTTGTAAAAACCTGCCGTGACCAGCAGGTGCGCGTGCGCGTGCGGGGGGGCGGGTCGGACGTACCCAAACCCCCAAGCCTGGTAGAGAGAGAGAGAGAGAGAGAGCAACCTAGGGGGGTTACCCTCTGGCCCACAGCCCCGGCGAAAGAAAGAGAGAGCAACCCCCCTGTCGGAAGTCAAATCCTGCCTGGACCCGCAGGTGCGCGCTCGCGCGCGCGAGGGCGTGGGGGGACCGCCCGGCCTCTCTGGCTTGGTAGAGAGAGAGAGAGAGAGAGAGAGAGAGAGAGAGAGAGAGCGAGCATCCCTGGCGAAAGAAGCAAAGACTATGCGCCGCCCCTGAACATCCCTTCAAAGACCCAAAACAATTGCGGGGCCCAGGTGGCCGAGGGGATTTCGAACATCCCCCAAGCCTTGTGGAAGAAGAGCGAGAGCGAGAGAGAGATCTACATATTATATATATATATATGTATGTATATATGTATATTCATGTAGAGAGAGAGAGAGAGAGGCGGGGGAGGCAGCAACTCTGCTCATATCCCTTCCGAAAGAAAGAGGCGGAGTTTTCCACAGAGATGGTTGAATCTCTAGGCCCCGAAATCTTGGGTAGCTTGTCCAACACACAGTTCGAAATGCTACAGTACTTTGTAGTTTCAAGCAAATGGTACAAGGAGAAGACGGAGTGAGACATAGTGCATAGTCGTATAAAGGATCTTTTGTGGAATTGCTCGCCTCGTGTACCCTCGTCGTCTCTGACTCTTTGAGTGACACCACTGCAGGAAGAGGATCTTTGCCGGCGCCTCCCCAATCTGTACACTTCCCTACTGAATGCCAAGCGGGTGTTTCCCTCGGTCCACCGTAATTTCCTGTGTTGCATGCCTGCCTTGCTCGTGCGGTATTGCAAATCTAAGTGGCAAACTTGTGCCAGAAGCTTCTGCCTTACGCACTCGTGCGGTCTGAGGATGGCTTGTATCCTTTCGGACCTCCAACATGCCGATCAAAGGACGCGTGGAAGACGTCATATTACTCTGCATGACGCTGTTCAGAGTAAGACGTCGTTTCTTCAGACGAATCTGACTGAAACACTGGGGCAAAAAATGCAGAGCTGGTTGCCGACTCAGATCTCGAGGATCGGCCAGAGAGGTACTCGGACGTCCTTTTCACGTCAGACTTGGCTGGATTCCTGGACTTTGGCCTTTGATATGCCCGCCGAAACGGAACACCTCAAAGATCATCAGGTCGTAGCGCGGGAGTCCGAAGAGCGTCGATTTGAAGTCCTGCCACGAGAGAAGCAGGCTCTGCTGCCGGAGCATCTAAATTAGATTGAGTTGGTCGGGCTGGAGTGAAAGGTACGCGTGTCTTTGGTGACTGCAGCTGCGGCGGCCTGAGCAATATATTCTCTTGGGATGGCGGTTGGTGGTGGGCGCAGCGAGCAGATTTCAAGCAGTCAAACCTCATTGTCATAGGAATTATACAACTTACAGCATTGGGACATATTGGGACTCTTCAGAACTGGTCCGCTGCTCGGCTGAGGCACCGAATATCAATTTTGCCAAAGAGGTGTATGACTTGGACCTCATGGCCAATACCATCCGTGCGATCTTCCTCGTTCCGAGGATGGCAAGGCCTCTCAGTGACAGCGGAACAGTGTAGCACTCATGATATGGAGTCCATCACTCCTTGCCAGGCCCGAGCTTGATACCCTGATCCTCGGAGCCTGGGGGTGTCCGGGCCTCTCGGAGATCTCGGAGCCGTGAATTGTTCTCTGTTTCTTTGCGGAGGTGGCGCATTCGGATGCAATCCGCAGCATGTCAGTGATCTGTTTGCCCGGGCCGTCGTGAACGAGGGGCTTGGGTGGTGCAGACTCGCTTACTGCCAAAAAGGGGTGGGGCGTAGTGCGAAGCAACACACATTGCGGGGCCCACATGCCCCTGCCAGGAATCTGTACAAGGAGATTCACTTTGCCATTCCTGCGCCGGCTTGGCTTGTTTAACGCCTCCTTATCGTGAGTCGTCATGGAGCCGTTCATCAGGGATGCCAACGGGACGGCCTTCCGGGAAACCTTCGCCAAAGTTCCTTTCAAGGCCTGAGAGATCCGTCGCCATGGGCTGCTACCTGCGCACTTCGCAGGAACTCTGAAGCACCCGGATGCAGCAGCTCTCGTCGGATGGGATGTACATAGCTCTGCGCGGTCATGCCGAGTCCAATACAAACAATGTAGCTCGGTCTCTATCTTGCAAAGGCTTCAGAGGGCTTCTGACTCCCAGATCTAGGCTCGCATATACTTGCGGTACAGAGTCCTCTGAAAAATCAAACCTCCGCTGGCACACGTTCAAAACGGCCGGAGACAAAATGAAGGATCCGCGTTGCAGAGGTTACGATAGCTTGATATAGCTTGCGGTAGATGATGGGACGGTGATGCTTGCACTCTTGAGCACCTGCACACACTCCTCCCGCAGCCGCGCTCGGGGCCGTGCGGCGCTAAGCTGCTGAAGCTAGGAGCCCACGGAAATGCGCCATGCCCTTCAGGCCTAATGCTTGCAACTCTTGCAACGTACAAGAAAGTACAAGGTGTGCACGAGACCGAAATCACCGCCTAAGTGGCAGCATGCATGTACTGGATTGTACTTGTAGGTGTGTAGGCATGCATGCATGTATGCACATCTTGAATTGGCAACATGTGGCGCGGCCGTGGGGTGCAACTCCGTTGCAGGCCACCACCTCCACAAGATCTCCCTGCAGTGAACCAGCTGAAGCCAGCAGGCAACAGCTTCCGCAGTGTAGCGGAGCGGGAGGAGGGGAGCAGGATGAAAAGCTTCTCCAGGTGACTTCAGCTTGGTGCTGGCACCGCCTCCACCGACGTCCTTGTGTGCATCTCAGCTCGGCGAGCGAGGTGCATGAAAAGGTGACGAGGAAGAGGCCCCTCTCTGCCTGACGAAGGCCTGGTGCCGAAGTCCCCACGGACTTCGAGCGCGGCAATGTGCTCGAGATGCTGTGCCTCGGATGCTAAGACTGCTAAGAATCTTGCAGCAGTGACTGCTGATGGCCAAGAGGCCTGCAAGTCACATACAGTAGACGACGTCTCTATGGCCCTGGGACCAATCAGCTGTGGAGCCGAGGAAGCTCAGAAGCCTCGACGACTTCGAGGCCCTGCATCTACCATGCCACGTCCCTTGTCCTCCAGCAGGGTGCTGCAGTGCAGGGGGCCTCCGAGATCAGAAGAACATCCGGCAGGAGCGATGTTTTACAGCTGTGAACGATGGTAGAAGTCACACAATCTCAGCTTGGTATTGGCTCCGCCGCCTCCCATCGGACTTCCGCATGGCTGCCCCGCTTATCCCCGCCTGTCTTCGGGAAAGCAGTCGCTTCCTGTGTTCAGACCTCCGTGCCAGGTGTGCCCCCAGGGCTCAGGCAGAGTCTTGCTTTGCGGCACCACCGCCTCCTGCAGCAGCCTGAGTCATGCCATCAGCAACTGCACTGCATGCCACTCGAGCACCGCCAGCAAACTAGAGCTGCCACCTCGACCAACACTTGATTGTCATGTGAGCTCAAGAGAGCAGGGAAGAGCCCATGCAGATAATGGTCGTAGTTCTTCAAGTGTTCCATCGAGAAACTGAGCATTTAAGTCGAAAGACCACATTGTGGACATCAATCTCAACAGTCTCCTTTGAGCCTTGCAGCTGGCTTAGAAGATAGTGCGGAGCCCCGCACAATGATGAATGGACGAGGATCTGCTGTTTCATGCGATGCCCACCATCTTGGCATATCTGTGGGCCATTGCAGCTGGCGTGTCAGTGGCATTCCAGGTTGGAGGCGTCGGGAGCCTAGCATTGGAGTTTCACAAGCTTAGACCTTTGCGTTCCGGACACATCTATCTAAGCCTGGTTATGGTTTTCCCAAACAGCTCTAGGGCACTACGGGGGTCTTACGTTCTGAGCAAAGAGAACTTGTTACTGTTCTCGCACGACGCACCGAACAAGACTTTCCCCGGGATGCTGGCCTGTTTTCACAGCCAGATTCATGGTAAGTTCCAAGTCGTCCCAAAGTTGAACGGGTCAATTTGGGGGAAGGCGTTTGGCTGTCCTTCTGAATCCCGGCAGTGGAATTATGAGGACAAGCATAAGCGCCCCCCCCCCCCTCCCAATCGCCGGGGGGAGAGCATTTTGCCTGCTCCCGAATCCTCCTGAAGACCGCAAGTACTTGGGCGAAAGCATTTGGGCCGATTTGGGCATGGTCCTGCATGCCGCCAGTATGTGGAGAAACTCTAGTGACTCTTGTGGCTGTGCTCCCGAATCCTGCCAGTGTCTAGTGGTGTCTCCTGTGGTCGTCGTGCTGCTCTATCACTGCATGATCTAGGATGGAATACCTGCTTCACTGCTCTCAGCAGTCTCCCGTGTAATTCAGACGGACGGCAGACACAAAGGTTGCTTGTGAAGAAGTGGCAGAGCTGACATCAATATCAACCACGAAGTGAGTACTGCTGAGGGCATCATCCTTAATGACACGCCCTCTCCTGCATTCGCCCATGCTTCCTACGTGTTTTCCATCAACCTCGGGATCGGCGCAGTTTGGCTCCTGGCGCTTGTGCGACTACAAGGTTCGCCTTCCCAACGCGCCCTGCAAGACTGAAAGGCTCTGTTTGGCAGTTGCCCGACTCAGGAGGACCAACCCCGAATGCTCCGACGAGGAAGTGGTCAGTCTTGGGCGGATTCGCGCACATCCCTGTCTTTGTGGCTTGCCTGAACTGAGGCACCGCCCCGGGCAAAACTGAGTGGCCAATTTGGGTCAGAATTCCGTGACAAACACCCGAAGAAGCCACAAGTGTACAGACAAAGGCATGGGCTTTGCAAGTAAGCCATGCTGAGAGATACATGGGAGGTGAGATTAAGCCGTTGTTTGTCGATCCGCAACTGGCTAGAAGTTTTCTCATCACTCAATCATAGCTGGCTCTTGCAGCCGAGGTGTGCACACCTGCCGCGGCTTTCCTGGGTACGCAGATGATTCTGATGTTGGTACTGGTTGGAATGATGACTTGTGCTATCGTCTTCGACTGCCGCGGAAAACGGTTGCGCATGACTCGCTACAAGTCCGTGGGTTTATGCTTCCTTGCAGCCGCCGCGGGCATCGAAATGGCAGACTCAATTAGCCAAGTCACGGGCTCCGCCGCGGAGATTGCGTTCTATGCAGCCTGCGCTTTGGTCGTTGGTGTTTGCTACAGCGTGCAGGCGAAGATGAACAAACGGCTAGCCAGGGATCTTGGCTCCTCAGCTCGCAGTGCTTTGTTTTGCAACGTGACTTCGATGCTCTGGGCAGTCCCCCTATGCATCACTTTGCAGACGCGGGGAATCCCACTGCACTTCCAAGAGTCAAAGTGGTGGATCTGGCTGCTCTGTGGCCTACAGTCTGCATTCTACACGTACTCACTAGCAGAATTGCCGAAACTCATTGGATACTCGGTGCTTTTCGTACTTGTCTTAGCAGGCAGGGGGTGGGGTCGGGGCGATGCACTCGGAAAAATACTCCAGCGTTTACTTAAGTTCAGCCTCTTTTGCCGGAGCACCTGGAAGGCAAGCTGACAACCGCATCCCTGGCCGACACCTTCGGCCTCTTCTCGCCCCCGCGACCGGTGTCGGTGGCACGCTTTGTCAGTGTTGCCGGGCGCCCAGGCCATTCAGGCATTAAAAGATCGAACAGCCGGGCCGAGCTTTTCCAATAGTGCAATCTATAGCCATTCCACGATGCTTCGCGGAGGAGTTTGCGCTCAACTCACGGTCACATGCCAACCTCTACCGCTCGTAAACACTCACTTTAACATCAACATTGGTCAGAGATGGAAAGCGACATACAAGCATAACCTCCGAGCGCGAACTCATCGGCGGAAAATCTTGCCATCAGCAATTCAGGTCACGTGTGTTTGGCTGCTACGGCCTGCCAGAGAGGGAAGGGTGTTGCAGGGATGAAAACTCGAGCGCAGATTACAAGCAGCCTGACCAAGGGCATCACAGTTCTTGGAGCGGCGACTGGGATGCAAATTGCATGAGTTCTGCCGTGCCAGCAGTTGCTGGTTCTTGTTTAGGAGGTCGCAAGACGTTGGCCCTGGCTTTGTGCCACTTGCTGCAGGCTACATACAGTGCTAGATGGGTTCCCGGCGTGGCTACCCTTGGTTTAGTTCAACTTACCCCGATACCCGACAAGTAGGCCTCGAACTGCTGCGAGCCCATGCAAAGTTAGGCTTTTCCTGGATCTTTGCCCCTGGGCTATAGGCCCTCGGCCGGACTCGGAAACCCACCAAAATAGGAAACGCAGCCCCCCCTACATTCCTCATCTTGGTTGGTTGTGGGGGGCCTGGGGGCCTAGAACCTCCAGGACTCCAGGGTCAGGAACATAACAACCTGCATTTCTCATTTTGGCCGGATTGTTGACAAGGAAACCACCGTAACGTAGGGTCCACGTCTACGTTTCCCATTTCGGTGATTCTCCTGCTGGCGCTTTTTTCTGTGGTCCCAAGCAGGCGCTTGGCCGACGCCTGGAAACGCCCCCCAGCCATGAGAAATGTAGCCCCGCCTGTACTTCTTGCCTCAGGGGTTTCAGAGGCTCGGAACCACCCGGCCAAAATGTGAAATGACACCACCTTGGAGACTCTGCATTTCTTAGCTAGAGCGCATTTGTAGTGTGAACCAGCTGACGCAACCCATTGTACATGTCTAACCAAGCGGTACAGTGGTTGTGATTGCGCTGTACCTTATGCAGGTGCTGTTCTCCTACAACTCTGTGCCTGTGCGGACGGAATGCCAGACTCAAGAGCCCATATGGAGGGAACCCAACGGCTCAGAGAATGACCTGCCCGAGTGGGAGGAAAACCTCGAGCAACTCCTGAGACAGTCAACGCACTGACTGCTCCCATCTAAGAGCTTAGCCGCTAAGCGGTGCTAAATATTGAGTCGGCATTGGCAGGCCGCCAATGCATAGTGTGGGCGAGTGCACGAACGTGCCTCCAAAAGAGGGGTCGCCGCACAGCCCGCTTCAGAACCCTGCACCAATTTTCTTGCTGACACGTCCGCTCCGACATCCGGTCGACAAGAAAGTCGTCCTTGCGTCGCTCGAAATTGCGAAACAGCCTTCGAGCGCTAAGGTGACACGACTTATTTGTTTGATCGCAGAAAGGCCGTTGCCCGTCACGCTTGCGACTGCTAAGGTGGGCTTGCCCGAAGTGGTTGGCAAACCTCTGAGACCGTGTGAACCTTGGCCATCGTGAAGATTCCATGCTGTCTGCCCAAGAGCAAGAGGCCTCCTCCCAGGGGACTGCCAGATGCGAAGTGTCGGAATCCAGTCCGGAGCTGAACCGGAGGACCAAGAGGCCAAGAGGTTTCCACAGCTCTTCGCGCCAGGAAGGCAGCGACTGTTCAGAGTCCGGCGAGGACAGCAACCTGCCAGGGACAGTCCTAGGTCCTAAAAGCTAGCATATATTCATAGACACGGTGCTGGAGCAAAGCCTGAAGCAGGACTCCGACGATGCTCCCTTCAGCGAGGACAAAGAGAGGCCACGCCCTAAAAACAACAGCGGTCACACACAGACGGGCTCCCGGCACAGGCAGCAGAGTGACATGGAGGTTCTCCTGGCACACCGGTCTTCGCCACCCCCTCAACACTTTTTGCGCAGATGGTACAGATTGCTGACACACGAGAACCTGCGAGGTTGATGAGAAACACTTCGCGGCAGTCCCGCTTCAGCGAGGAGGTGCATGAGCGCCTGTGTACGGTACTTGTCATTCCGAGGAATCTGTAGCGATAGGACATCCCAGCGAGCGCGCACCAGCTAGCCCGAGAAGCTCGCGCAGAAGAGGCTGGGCATAGCTCGCATCGCGCGATTGAGGCTGAGGTTCCCTCGCGACCAGTCGCATGGTAGTGCCTGGACGGCCAGGACCAGCGCACGGTCGTCAAGCCATCCAGGCTGAGTGGCCCTCAGCACTCCGCAGAGAGACCTGTCGATTTGCTGACATGCTGAGACCACCTGTTGAGAATCATCATTATGTTCACATGCTGTTGGTGTCCCTCCCTTTTTTCAGCAGTTGTGGTGAAAGCGGACTGGTCTGGCTGGTGCTTCGACTCAAGTGCCAGGGATCGCTCGTTATCACTCGTTGATCCATCGAGGAATCTTCCGCAGTCGTTTCGGCTGCGCAGCAGACCCGATTTCACTCCCATCGCGCGGAAGCGCTGGCGGCGCCTCGGGCTGCTTTTGAGGCCGCAGAAAACCCTGGAGCCCCGGCCTTTTCAGGAGGGAAGGCCAGGCTGCATCACTGGCTGCGGCCGTGCGTTGACTCATGTGGTATAGTCACTGCGAAACTTGGACTCAGTGACCACCTAAATTCTCCACGTGCAATTTGGGACATTTGTCAGATCACGACGGCTAGTTTGTATTGAGCCGGGTGATCTGTTGATGGCCTCATGGAGTTGTCCTTTCCACTGGCATTCGCTGCAGTGCTACAGCTTGATGTCAACAGACCTATAGGGGATCTCTTGCCTCGAGCGAGCAGCAGATGCGGGACACTTCCTCCGGCCAACCTGGGCCCTGCCTACCTTGCCTGCCTCCAGTCTCTCCTGGAGAGGGGAGGATGTGAAAGTGGATGAGCAGCGAAAGCTGCAGTGGCAAAGCGCCTTCGAGAAGGCTGCTCGCCGCGGGTTTGCTGCGGCCCAGCGCCGCTATGGCAATCTCATGCTTACAGGACGACCCAGGCTATGCCTGCACTGCTGCTATATGCTGCTCCAGGGGAGGAGTACGCAAGCAGGTCAGGTCGACAGCAACAGCTGCGTTGCCCCGGCACGTTGTGCTCTCAGAGACATCAGTGTGGACGACCTTTGCCGTGGCTCTTGGACGGACTCCGGTCAGAGAGGGACTGCGACGAAGTGCATGCGAGCAAAACGCCGTGGAATACCTCCGCACCAAGCACTGCTTTTCTGTCCTGTGAAGTTTCATTCGGCTCGGAAGAAAGTTTGCTTCCGAGGTCGCTTTTCCACCGTGTCGTGGCCCGGCTCATTCCCAGTCTGCGTGTGTCGTTTTGGCGGCGGCGCCTTCCAAAATTCGATGATCTTGCATTGTGAGCATGCTTGAAGCCAGTTCCGGCACAGCAGAGCTGAATGCAAAGAAGGAGGCGCGGCTCTTGGAGTCTTGGACATCGCAGACTGCAAGCAGGGCTTCACTTTCATTCATTTGCCGAACTCGGATCTCTCAGGTGGGAGACAAAGCATGCTTCACCAACTTCATCAGGCCGGAAAAAGAGCGAGAGAGAGAGAGAGGGCGAGTAGGGGGTCTTCCCCCTGCACCATAGCCCTGGCAAAAGAGATCGAGCGAGAGAGCAGTCATCGTGCACGCACCGAGCACAGATCCCGTAGGCAAACCGCAAGTGCGAGTGTTTGATGGGTCACAGGACGCATCAAGACCAGATGATGCATGGTTCCGCCGCTGGTCCAGCCTGCTTTCAAAGGAAGGCTTAGCTTGCACAAAGGCCTGCGGCCCGGTGGGATAGCCTGCTATTGTGCCTCTAAGCCTTTAAGCCATGCGAAGCCACTCAAAGCCCCAAGACATGGCTGGCTGCGAGGTTGCTACAAATGGGAAGCCTTACCCTCGACGCTTACTGGTCGACTGCAGGACGTTTTGCCCGCACCTGACCTTGCTGTGTTGCTTCTCGCCGGATGTAGAAAGCATCTCATCATGTTCCGGATGTAAAGGGGCTGTGAAAACAAGAATCAGCACCAAGGACTCCTTCGACAACGATAGCGGCTAATCAGTCTTAAACTGTACAGGATCAAGAGCATGGACAAGATTCTGAGAGTGAGATGTGCGCACCAGCCTCGGGCCCATTGGCAGGAACCTGATGGTAGAGATCCATGGAGGCACCTTTTGGGGAGATTCTCTTTGGGATCAGTGGGGCTTAGGGGAGTGCAGCATTACCTAGAATGCCTGCAGGCCGCAGTGGGACGGTTGGCATCCTGCTGGATGATTTAGTCGACGTTTGCAAGGCCTGTCGCATCGTTTGGCTTGCGATGGCCGTGGTGGACGCTCAGCTCAGGACCTGGAAAGCTCAGAATTCGTTCGATTTCGGCAACAAAATGCCAGGCGATTGACTGCGCTGAGCTTTCCAATCAGAGCTGCAAATCACTGCAAGCTTGCACCACAGGCATGAGAAAGAATTGGCTTGTCGAGACCCGCGCTCAGACTGCTCAGATCACTAAGTGTCCTGCTTTGGTGAGCTTTGTGTTGCTGACATGGATCACTTCCTTGGCTATGTTTGCTATGGCTTTCATTCAGTCGCCGTCAAGGCGCGCACAGACACGACAGGGCGGCTCGTCCCCATTCCAGCCTAGCGGAAGGTGAGCCATAAAAAGCACACAATGAGCACACAAGCCATGAAACCAATCGCACTGCTAAACAAACTAAGATTTGCTGCGATGGCTCTCAGAGTGAACGGCGACGGCGAGACGCCAGTACCACCGAAGCCTCTCCAAACATTCACGTTTGGGAAGCACAGAGGCCGAAGTTTTCAAGATGTGGCGAACACGGATGCAAGCTACTGCAATTGGGCGCTGACAATGGAAAACCCAAATGGACAGCTGAAGGAGTTTCAACAGTATCTCCAAAGGGTTCAAAAGAGAGTGCCTAAAGCGCCATCCGCTCCCGCTGCGGCCTGTGCCCCCCGACCACTGGCCACGCCACAAAAAGGGCAGCTCGCAGCCGACATCACACTGGTTTGCGAGCTCATCCAAGAAGATCAATTCCTTGTGCGTGCTGAAAGGTTGGGCAGCAAGGATCCGGTGTTTGTGCCACCGCATGTGTGGCAAGCAGTGGGAAGACAGGAGGGCGCATCCCTCGGAGTCGACCGGCGTTCCTGGCTCTTTCCCCTTCACAAATACAAGGCTGTTGTGACAGGCTTGGAGGAGCTTGGCCAAGTGGAACACATCCCGAGTTGGGTCCTGAACTTGCTACAAAAAGCACGGCGTGCTGCGGGCGATAAAGTGCAGGAGGCCCGTTTGCCACCGAAGCTACTTCCCTACCAACTTGAGGGTGTACACTTCGGCACAGAAAAGGCAGGGCGTGTCTTGATCGCGGATGAGATGGGCCTTGGAAAGACCCTTCAAGCACTGGCTCTGGCTGCTCAGTACAGAGAAAGCTGGCCCGTTCTGGTCGTTTGCCCCTCGTCATTGCGATGGGTTTGGCAGGAGCAGGCACTGCAATGGCTGAACGGGGTCTTACGCCCGTGTGATGTGCAAGTCATTCGGAAAGGCTCGGAGGCCCTGAACCCCGAATGCCACATATGGATCATCTCCTACAACCTGCTGGCCTCCGATGCTAACCGAGGGAAGTTCACACAGCGTCCTGACGGAACGCCGCACGGCATGGTCATTGCTGACGAGAGTCACAACATGAAGGACTGGGGCGCCGCGCGGACCAAGACAATGGTCCCTCTGCTGCGCCAGGCACAGCGTGCAGTTCTGCTCTCGGGTACTCCTACGAGAAACTCTGCCGACGAGCTTCATCCGCAGCTCCTGGGCCACCACTCAGGTTGCGACAGATAGTATGGTGTTCTGCTGCGGTAAGATCCATTCGAGGTGGTTGTGCGTGTCGCTGGTGGGAGCACCAGTAGAACTGGAAGTAGTGGCAGTAGTCATGGCGGTGGTGGTAGTGGTAGTAGTAGTTGGTCGTCGGCGTTGTCGTGGTAGTGGTCGTAGTCGTGGTGGTGTACTAGTAGTAATAGTAGTAGTAGCAGTAGTAGTAGTAGTAGTAGCAGCAGCAGTAGTAGTAGTAGCAGCAGCAGCAGCAGTCGTCGTCGTAGTAATAATAGCAGTAGTCGTCATCGTCGTCTCGTCGTCGTAGTAGTAGTCGTAGTCGTAGTCGTAGTCGTAGTCGTAGTCGTAGTCGTAGTCGTAGTCGTCGTAGTAGTAGTGGCAGTAGTAGTAGTAGTAGTAGTAGTAGTAGTACTACTACTACTACTACTACTACTATTGTTGTTATTACTTTTAGCAATAGTAATAATCGCGATAATAAAGAAATAATAATAAGAGTAGCAGTAGGAGTAGTGGAGCCGGAGTATGAGTATGAGCAGGAGTGGGAGTAGTAGCAGTGGCGGGAGTTGTTGGAGTAGTAGGAGCAGTAGGTCAGTAGGCGTAGCTGTGGAAGTAGCAGCGGTAGCAGCAGCCACTACTACGACTGCTGCTGCTGCACCTTCAAAGCCTTTGAGCCTTCGCTTGGATCATTCACTTCGATAGTTTCAAAGCCTTCGAAACCTAGTACCAGTAGTAGTCGCAGTAGTCGTGGCTGCCGCAGCAGCAGCAGTATAGCAGTAGCAGCGTCGTCCTCCTCGTCATCGTCGTTGCAGTCGTAGTCGTAAGAGTACGGCAAGCCAGAACCTCGCACTGAGATTAGGCCAGGAGAGAATCATGGATGCTTCGCCGCAAAACAACTGGACTACCGAAGCAAGAAAAGTACTGGAAGCCCGCTGTGAATTGATAAACACTAGGACTTGCATGTGATCTCGCTGCCACTCAGGCTGTGTGGCTTGATTCCTGACGTTGCGAGGCTTGTCGATTTCCGAGCAAGATATTGCGTTATGCAGCAGCAGTCTTTCCATGGTGGACGCGCAATAAGCAGAGTCGTGGGTGCTCGATGTGCTACAGAGTTGAATTTTCTCCTCATGTCCACGGTCATGATTCGAAGGCAGAAGAAGGAAGTCCTTTCGCAGCTTCCTGAGAAGCGGCGGCAGCGTGTGCCGCTGGACGTTGATGGAAAGTTGTTGCGCGGCGTTCAGTCCGATGATCTACATGACTTCATCGGAGATGGTCCCTCGAAGCCAGACAGCTCCGACATTTTCATGCAGATTGCGAAGGCCAAGCTCAAAGCTGTAAAAGAGTACCTTTCCGAAGTGCTGGAACGCGTGGACGACAAGATCATCATCTTCGCACACCACAAGCTCATGCTGGACGAAATCTCGGAGCTTCTAAAGAAGCACCTGCCCAAGATGAGTTGTTCCTTTATACGAATCGACGGCAGCACCCCAATGGCGAAACGCCAAGAGATTGTGAGGCAGTTCCAAGAAGATCCCAACTGCCGAATTGCTTTGTTGTCGATCACCGCTTGTGGTGAGGGCTTGACGATGACAGCTGCCAGCCTGGTTATCTTTGCAGAGCTCTACTGGGTCCCGGGGTCTGTGGAACAAGCTGAAGCAAGAGCTCATCGTATTGGCAGTACCCACAGCAAGGTGGTCGTGGAATTTCTGGTCGCGCCAAACACGCCCGACGAGATTATCTACAACAGCTTAGAGCGCAAGAAGCAGGACAAGAGATCATGTTCATGCAAGTTCACATCACAGTCGGCAGTCCGATGCTCTGTGCAGGACACATCCGCTGTTTTGGATGGCTTCGCAGAATCCATGAACGTGGCGCCAGCTAGCCTCGTACCTAAGAGGTCGGCCCGGTTCTCGGCTTCTTCTTGTTTCGACAAAATCGACAAGTCACGTGGTGAGGTCGAAGAAAGTCCCGAAGCACAGAAGCGCAGGAAAACGTCGGGACCGGAGGCCGTAGACAGGTCGAAGGCGGGGCCTCTAGCATCCCTCCAGCGATTTGTCGGCCCGCCTGCGCTGCCGATCGCTGCCGCCCGCCAGGTGGACGTGCTGCTAAAAGCCATGCGTGATGGCCAGAAGGCTCTCAGTCTGCAGACGGACTCGGCCTGACTGGATGAAACATGGACCGGGGAAAGTTGCGCACATGTCTGCGGAGCAGACGAGATGCGCTTCCGCAAGCATGGAGGCAGGGGTGTGTGCAGCAAAGGGGGTTTGCACTCCATGCTTGCTTCGATCGTCGCCTGGGACGGAAAAGCCCAGTGTTGCGTGAGTCTCTGGGGCGATGACCGTCGGCAAGTTTTCGTGTTGGAAGCCGAGGCCTTAGTCTTGCACACCCCCGCCCGGTCCTTCTCCTTCCTCTTCGCAAACGGTGCGGCCCGCAAAGTCTCGGAAGTTCCGGATCTGCACAAGCGCACGAGCTTGCTCATCAGCTTACGCCAGTTTCGCAGCGGGACGTGTTCGGTCAGTTCCTTGTGTATTTGATCAGCAAGCATGACCGCGGGATGACATCAGCATCGGCCTGATTTTTGAGCTCGCCGGGTGCCTTCTGTACATCGCTTTCAGCCGAGGTCGACACCACGTCAGCCGCCACGACTGCACGCGACGCAGACTTGGACGAGCCCCCTACGCAAGCAAATACTTCGCCTCCGAAAGAGGGTCGCGGGCACGCTGCCTCAGACTGCACAGCATCGTCTAGTAGTGACAGTCGCATCATAGCTCGTGCGACAAAAGTCGCTCTTGCGCAGGAGAGTGACCTATCCCAACCACTCCTGGTACGAGGGTGCCGAGCTTAGCATGCCCTGGCCGGCCTGATCAGATCAGCAAGAGAGCTCTAGTTTGGGATCGTGGTTCAGAAAGCTTCAATTGCCTTGTACCAGTAGCTGGGGAATGGCGTATCACTGTGCCAAGCCCGATGACTTTATAAGAAGGCGACTTCCGCGAGTACCAGCGTCATGGCCGAGGGACCCTTCACCTGCCGGACTGTTTGGGTGTTTTTTGCCGGGTTAAGGGAACTCTTGAGCTTTCGTGTTCACCATAGCATCTCCGGCAGCTCTGGGACTGCAAATTATTGAATTGGATTCTTGGCTTTGGTTGAGAGCTTTGCTTTTTGCTTGACTTTTTTTACCCTCTTTCTTTGGGGTCCTCATATGGCACGAGAGCCACTCCTCAAAGGCCACGAGCAAAAATCCCTTCCAGCTGGGAGGACGGCACGAAGCACGAATGCCAGTGGCAGAAGGATGAACGCCACGGACCAGGGCCGGGCACTGGGCACATCTGGGCACTCGCCCTGCCTGCCGCATCAATGCACTTTGTAGCGGCACTCTCCGAGGAGAGAATACTGGGCAGATGGGACCGTCTTTCGCGGCAATTACGTTTCTACCTCACTATGGGGGCATGCTTGTACTTGTCTCTCGAGTCAAACTCGGAAAGCAGGTCCACGGATTGCGTCATGGCCACGGAGTGATGACATGGCCCGAGGGGTCCAGGCCGGAGCAGCGCAGCTCATGTTCTAGATTCTAGCTGCTGGCTATCTATCAACCCTGTGCAGGTACACAGGGCTCTTCGAACGAGGCGCCTTGAAGTCTCGTGACATCCCGTCCGGGAATGCATCCACGATGATACACGCGCGCGCACGCGCACACACACACACATCCTCGGGGTTCAGACATGATGGTTTGGTTGTGTTCAGGTTAGTCAGAGCTGCTGTGCCCCAGGTAGCAACGAAGATCAACGAAGCATGATATTGCCGAGCTCAGAAAATCGAGCAGGTTTTGACGTGGCTGGTTGACAGGTCGTGCAAACGGTGACGGAGAGCTGGTGCGCTGGAACCTCGAGAGGAAGTGCGGGCAATGGTCAGCTTGGGCGTAGGCGCTAAGCCTCGGACTCTAAGCTGTCCTGTCTTCCGAGGCACCGATGGTTCAGTCTATCGGGGTCAGTTCAAGGAGGAGCGGAAACTGCGTGGGGATCTGTGCCTGTCCAAGGGGGCTTGAGGACTGCATGAGTGGAGACGGCTGCATGCAGTGGGTCGATGGAGTCGAGTGCGCCCCGAACACGTAAGGGAGCGCACCAGCGCAGGGGCTCTGCGGACAGCACGGGAGGTACAAGGGCCAGTTCGAGGCGAACCGAAGACATGGCTTCGGAAAGATGGTGCTCCTGGGCTTCGGCTTCCTGCTCTTCGCGCACCTGCGCTTCGCCAGGTATGGACATCTGGGAAGTGGAAGAGCTACGAAGGCTCGTGGAAGGCACACCTTGATCGGGATAGCGGCCGGACGCCTTCCGTGTTCCAGGGCTTTTCCCCTGCCTAACTTGGTTGTTCAGGCCGGCGGTCAACATGGTCGCGGCATCCTCACAGATCAAGACGATGCTGCGCAGCTCTCAAAGCTGAACATCTCCACATATCTCCACCAGTCAAAAGGCTGCAAAGGTGGGGTGAAGGTACCTTATTAAGGTGTATGTCGGCCATTTCCTCGATGGCAAAATCGACCACTGGGAGGGAAGCCCTCCTGATGCAGGCACCGCCCCCTCACCCCGTTTGATGAAACTTCTGCCTCATCCTGCGAGATGCCAGGCCTTTGAGATGCATGTTGGCTGCACGCCTGTACAGCATCGCCCTTCTGCGGAATCAGCGTGCTCATCAAAAACGTGCGACCGAGGAGCAGATCTATAGCTGGAGCAGGAACGTTTGCTCGGCCATTTGCTTGCGTGGGTGCCTGGCCTCGGAAGGCAAAAACTGCCATCGAGGTCCGTGCAGCCTTTCATGGCTCGTGCCTGCACGCAGAAGCTGGACCCGGGAAATGGAGCAGCCTGCACTATACGGTACTCTTCCCGCACGCACTCTCCTACACCTGCGTTCACGCGCCTGATGCCTTTAGAGAGAGGCTCAAAGAGGACGTTTGGCACGCCGAAGCCGCCGCAATGTCACACGAGACTGGTCATCTGTGGTGCTGCATGTGACGACAAGGCTCCATCCACACCTGCAAGCAAGATTGGCAACAGCATAGCAAAGCCTGCACACACAGCAAGGGCCACGCCCTCTCAAACTGGTGGCTTCTGCTGTCCAGCCAAAATCAGACAAGTTGACATTTCCAGAGACTCCAAGCTAAGCTGTGTGACTGCGCCATCTGAGAACCCATGGCACTGAGCTTGGGCCGGCGGACGACTTGGGAAGCTGAGACTGAAACCTTGATATGTGCGGCTGAAGAATGGGTCAACCCAGGCTGGCCAATCTACTCGACACAGAAGGACAGAGCAGAGTTCCAGCAGTCGAGCTTCATTTTGTTGAGAGCAGATGTAACAGCATGTGAAACAAATCCCACTTTGGATTCCCGTCCTTTGACTTGAACCTCTAGGACCTCTGGTGCGATGCTGATGGGTTGTCTTAGGCTAAGGCCCCCCCACTCTCCTGCGCCTTGCATCGGGCTCTCAGAAGGCCGGTGCCAATCGATGTCAAGCTCGAGCCAAACTGACAGCTGCACATTCGCAAGCATGCTAAAGTTAAAAGGCCTTTCTTGTGAGTTGGTACGGCTCGCAAACCCGAAGCCCGAGCACAGTCCCCTGCATGACCGACTTTCGCCTGAACTGCCCCTTGGTTCTGATCCGCAAGACGTACAGGGAGCTCCTCTCAGCTGTAGGAATTGCGGCATTCCATGAAGTCCCAGTCCATAGTGAGAGTGTGGTAATATCTACCAGACACTCATGGCATGCCAAAGCCGACATGGCAGGCACAGGTGGCTTCTGCCTTTCATTTGTATCCTGAGCTGTGCCACTTTGAGACTCTTCGTATTTGCAGGGTACAGCTCTCAGAATGACCGGCGCAGAGCACCAAAGCGTGTGGGGCGTTTGGTCAGTCCTGCAGTGGAAGCTTGGTTGCTCCAGCAGAAGAAGGACCAAGAATACGAGGAACTGCTCCGTGGAGGCTTTTCAAAGGAGCGGATGTTCCGGTTCTTCAGCTGGCGCCCGCACTTGATTCTGCGGCGTTTCTTCGAGATAGGCGGGGTTCTCTGGCCGACATGGCAAACCTGGACAGACCCGAACGGCCAAAATCGAGGAGAGCACTTGAAGAGCAGCTTGCAAAAGCTCGGCCCCGTCTTTGTAAAGGTCGGACAGACGCTCGCGCAGCGCCCTGACATCGTGGGGGAAGAGGCAGCAGAGGTTCTGAAGACCTTGCAGTCCAAGAGCGCGCCCTTCGCCGATGAGATAGCACATCGCATCGTGCTGGAAGACTTGGGCCACACTGGCCCGCTAGCCCCCGGTGTTTGTCCTGAGGGCCTGGGCCTAGGGCTCAATGCTTCAGCGAACTGCACTCCCCTGTTTCGGGCCTTCTCAAGCAAGCCAGTGGCAGCTGCTAGCCTAGGACAGGTTTACAAGGCGACCACTCGGGAAGGAAAGGATATCGCCGTCAAGGTCATGCGGCCAGGTGTCGCTCGCCTGGTGGCATGTGATTGGGTTTGCTGGTTCCTGGGCTTAAAGCTTCAGAGGCTCATCACTGGATCTTTCAATGACTTTGCCAAGCTCGCGGATGGGGTTGCTAGTGGCGTCTTTCTCGAGCTAGACTACCACAACGAAGGGCGAAATATGGAAGACTTCGTGCGTGAGCACATGTGGTTGGGATTTGTCACTGCGCCTGCCTGGGTGCATGAATACACCGGTCCCGTGGGAGACGCTCGTGTACTCAGCACCGAGTGGGCAGATGGCTTAGACTTCCAGGACCTGCCTGAAAGGTTACGGCACAGAGCCGTTCAACTGGCCGCGGAGGCATGCCTGGTGCAATTGATGATCACTGGCTTTGTGCACGCAGACCCCCACGAAGGAAACTTGAAGTATATGGACGATGGAAGAATCTGCTTTTTGGACTTCGGATTGATGGACAGGGTGGACTCCAAAGTCATGGAAGGCTTTGCTGAAGGAATTCGTAGTGTTGTCGCCCGGAACTGGACTCAGCTGGCACAGGCCATGCAAGTCATTGAGTTTGTGCCCAATCCTGCCCGAGCCTTAGCAATTGAGTATGTTCCCGGTTTGCTGCCATTAAGCCCGAAGCACAGTCGAGAGGCTTCGGGTTGGCTTGGTGCTGGCCATGCGACTTGATTTTTTGCTCCCAGATGTGTCTTAATTGTCTTAGGTCCGGAAGAATTTGAGACCGAACAGCACGCGGCCGTTGTGGGTAGAGAGCACATTCGAGGAATTTGTGGCCGCGCTTGCTGAAGAGGTTGGAGACGACAGTGATGCACAGAGTCGCTTCGGCGATATGGCAGCTGCACTGAAGCGATTGTCAAACCGGTTCCTGATGCTGACTCCAGACTATGTGGTGCTGATGACACGCACCTTCGTGACATTGGAGGGAATCGCAGCACAATACGACCCGGATTTCAACATCTACACGACGGCGCTGCCCATCACTTTGCGCCGTATCGTTTCGCCAAGCACTGCCGCCTCCCGCAAAGCCTTCCGGAATAATGTGCTGACCGAGAACGGAGAGCTAAAGTGGAATGAGCTAGAAGGGCTACTGAAGACGCCAGAGCAAGGTGTTGAAGCAGAACATGAAGATGCGAAGATGAGTTTGTTGGATGAGAACGACGAACCTTTCGCCTCTGAAAGTGGCTTTAAGCCTTTGGAGGGTCTACTGGGCTCCAGTGAGGGCCGAAGCCTGCGACGACTCGCCTACGACGTGGACATCAAGGCGCTGTTCGCTTACCTGGCCTCCAACGAGGGACGCTCATTGCGAAAACAAGCAGCCTCCTTTGTTGCGAAACAGCTGGACCTCCGCCGCGTTTGGCCGCTCGGGAGATCAGCTCGGAGCGCTGCCAAAGAGCCGCCTGCTGGCTCCAAGGAGTTTGAGAAGCTCCAAAGGCAGCGGGCCCAGCGTGAAAGGCGTGCGCTGCGCTTCATCTTGCGGAGCCAGTGGAAGCGCCTGCGCTATCGGGCACTGCCCTCCCTTGCGCTTGTAATTATGGTCTTCCTCCTCCGTGTCTCTGGAACGGTGCTGCTGCTGATGCTTCGGCGGCTGGCTCGCCGACTCCGGTCTGCCGTGCTCTGGCTCGTGAAATGCCCGCTCGTGGTGTCCAGATCTTTTAAAACGCGGCTTCAAGGGCTGCGGCCCGCCAGGAGCTAGCATCTTCAGACTCCCTGATGTGCCTGACGCGGGATACATGTTTCAATAGTGGCGCTTCTCGCTGGGCAGTTGTGGCCTTAGCTTGCATAGCACCTGGCACAATGGCATTCGAACTCAATCCTGTGGGGCAGGATCTCAGCCGTCGTGGCTCTCCGAGAAGTTTAGCTTGATTGTCCAGGCACTGTGCGCTTTTGTTGTTGCTCAGGCCTTTCCATTTAAGAGGCAAGCATTGCTTGTGGTTCATGCTGGAACCGCCGACTGGAGGCTGCAAGGCGATTGCTCGACCTCGACATTCAGGAATCAACGTCAGAGACCCGCTCGCCCATGCCTGCAGTGCATGAAGTGTACCTGTGTCGCCTTGCCTTTGACATCTTTTGACACGCAGCTATCCAAAGCCGACACTGTCTACTGCTTTCTTGAGAATCTTCAGCATGGTGCTATTGGCGCGAAGAGTACGGGTTTTTGCCACGGGCTTGATACCTAGTGCGGACTGACTCTCCGGTCCGCAACAGCCCGAAGCGTACGAGAGGCCTTGTCGAATCTTTTGGATTCCAGGCCGCATAGAGGCCGGCTGTTGGCTTTGGGAATTGGTTCCCCACCCCCCCCTACGGAAGAGACATGCCTCGTGAGGTAGTTGGAAAGCACACCGACTATGCTGGTGGGCGGTCTCTGCTTTGCGCTATCAAGTTTGAGCCTCGGGTCCACGTCAGCCTTGCATCGACCATGTATTTCATGGAATGCCAGTCGTGGTTTCTGTGTATTGGCGACCGACCGTCAAGATGCCCTGCTTCGAGCCGCCGGAACCCCAGCCTTCGCAGAATGCGACAGAACGACATGGCACGTCGCATGGAGGTCAGTCTCCAGTTCAAGGCCGGCGACAAGGTGCATAGACTTCACAGACTTGTAGCCGTAGTCGAACAGGAGGGAGCTTCGCCAGCCCTGCGGTTCCCAGCACTTAGCGCTCTTGGCCAGGATGGCATCGTTGAGGTGCCCTTGACAACGAGCCTCGAGGCTCCCCATCCGAGAGCCTCTGCACTGCCGCCTTCGTGGGTTGATGCGGTTGGTTGATTGGCCCAAGCTTTCTGGGATAACAGCGAGGGCAGGCGAGTAGCGACCGAAGCATGTGAGCCACCGAGCTCCTCCGCCGATTTCCCGCTGCCCCGCAACGAGTATCCCAACCCCTACATTGAACCGTGAGGCTCTTGGTACTCTAGCCTTGCACTACTGAATTCAAGAGATTGCAGCAGGTTTCTGGCAATGAAGGCTATCACCAGTGTTCCGTCGACTGAGAGAGGTACGACAGAACCACTGGTCCCTTTACATCACGACTGCCGGGTCCTGATCTGATCCGCAGACACGACACCTTAAAATTTGATCCTCAGGCTGCACGGCGGCTCTCGCAGAATTTCGGTCAGAAGCAGCAACTTCTGGGTTGTGATGCAGCAAGCCCAGAATCTCAGAACGCGGAACGGGCCACATTCTGCCAAATTGGCAAGCAAGTAACGCTTGCATGGCTAGAATCAAGGTTGCCATCGCCTGCGACTTGCCTCCTGCTTCAGGCTGTCGGCAGACGAGTCGGATGTAAACTGTCGCATCCCCTCACTTGCCTTTCCTGTAAGTTTTTCAGGGCCGAAAGGCAGGGTTTTGGCACGCGACAGGCATGAGCACCTCCTCGGCGTTGATTTGTGCCGGGCTCTTGGCATCTCGCAGGAACCTCCTGACTAGCTGCTTAGACAGTGCATCTGCTGGACAAGAAATGCCAGCTTCCCTCGCTGGGTACCCTTCATTTCTTAGCTTCTTTTCAGGTTCACATGCCCAGGCTTAGGGCTCGGAAACCACCCAACGTAAGAAACGATGCGCCACACATATCTGATTTTGGCCGCTGCCGTGTACCCTAGGCCTAGGGCTTGGAAACCACCCAAAACAAGAACTGTAGCCCCTTACTGGGACCTGGCAAACCCCCCGAAATAAGAAACGCAGTCCCCTACATTTCGAATTCTGGTCTCTGCCCCATGTCCTAGGGTTAGGACCTGGAAAACCCCCGAAATAAGAAACGCAGCCCCCTACAGTTTTATTGCTGGCCTCTGCCCCATGCACTGCTGTAGGGTTTATAGGACCTGGACAACCACCGTAGAAACGCAGTCCCCTACATTTCTAATTCTGGTCTCTGCCCCATGTCCTAGGGTTAGGACATGGAAAACCCCCGAAATAAGAAAGGCAGCCCCCTACAGTTTTACTTCTGGCCTCTGCCCCATGCACTGCTGTAGGGTTAAGGACTTGGAAAACCCCCGTAAGAAACGCAGCCCCCTACATTTCTAATTCTGGTCTCT